TGCCCCTAACTTGAAGAATCACCACCTTTTCCTCCCACCTACACCATATGGAGCCGGCACCGGAAATTGCCCAATTCGACCGCCATACCGCCGAATAAACCATCGGATTTTTACACCACCAACACCTCCTCACCCCCCTCCCCTCCCTTCCACAATCCTATACAAACAAGCTGCCCTAACTGATAAAAAATCAAATGAAATTATGGTTCAAAAAATCATCCCTACGCACTGTTTTACCTCCAATTCCGCCACTGCCGCCGCCACCTCTACCGTACCATCGCTACCGCCACCTCCACACAAACACCATCACCACCACCACCCAAAAAACCATCCAAATGAGAACCGAAATCAACATCAATAATGTGTTAAAAACCTTTTATCAGATGCTCCAAATGCAACCCTTGCCACCCAGCTCATCATTTAACAAATTGATAGTCTCTGTTGCCAAAACCAAGAATTATCAAGATATCATTTTTATGTAGAAAAGGGGTATGCGAAATTTGTGTCTTTGTGCTGGATTTTCTACTGCTTCCTTTGCTTTGTGGCTGGTGGTTGGTTGGAGATTGTAGAGGGGAATGAGACGAGGCTCAATGTGGTTGGATCTAGTGGTTTTCGCTGTTGGAAAGTCGTGATTTGTGGCTCCAAAGTGGAAACTGAGCTTAGTGCTGGCACTATACCCTAATCCCCCAAACCCCCAAATCGTACCCTAATCCCCAGTCGTCGGTCGCCATCATGGGGCGATGGCGAGCCACCACCTTCCCAACCTTCATCCACTCCTCTCCCACATTCCAGGCCGTCGAACTCCATCACCATGGGCGACGGCAAAGCCCCTTCATCCCAGCCCTCCTCCACACCTCTCCCTCATCCGAAGCAGTCGATCAACTCCTTGGGCGACGGCAAGACCTCCTGACCCCAACCCTCCTCCTCACCTGGCCTCACGCCACCCTATTTAGCCATGGCACCCTCTGAAAGACCCTAAACCGTGGAAATTCAAAGTGAATGCAGCCTTCATTCCGGTCACTCCCTCACTTCANAGGTCCTCAAGGATTTAATTCATGTGTTTTTGGTCCTTCTGTGACCTTTAGTGAAAGTTTAGGTAAGTTCAGTGACCGTTTCTGCAAGTTTTGAACTTCAGTGACCATTTTGTGATTTTGATGTAAGTTCAGTGACCGTTTGTGAAATTAACCCTAGTTTTAACTGTTGACACGCCTTTACCATCTTCAATCAAAAAGAGAAAGGAAGGAAATTCCCAAATCGATTTCAAAAAACCCCAAATCGAAACCCTAATCCACGAATCAAGAAAATCAATTACCCAAATCCCTCAATCCCCGCCATCGTTAACCACTCGAAGAGCCCAACCCAACCGTGAAAAAGCACTGAAGCAGCAACCATTACATTTCAGGACTTCGAGCAAGGACTCGTTGGGGTAAAATGGACAGAGCGTTTGAAGGTAAATTCGAAACACCTTTTGTTTTTGTGTTCGGGCACATTAAATAGTGCGAAGCTTATTTTAAGAATTATGCAGCTGTGGGTTGTATGATTATTGCGGGTGAGATGACTGTGAGAAATTGATAGAATTTTTTTGGTGCTTGTGTTGTTGAATTATTGATCCTATATTACTATTATTACTGTTTTGTTAGTAAAGAAACTAACTTTTAAAATTATATTTTGGAAAGAAAAATAAGCTTAAAGAGGTCTTCTAGCCTTCCCATTTTGAATTTTAGCTTTCTGGTTTGTGTTCTATGGGAAGAGAGGCATTTAAGAGTTAAAATCTGGCCAAGGTGTGTTTGGCTGTGTGACGAGGCGCTGATATGGCGAAACATTTAACACTTGGAAGGAGATAACGGCCAGCTCATATTTCCATCCTCCATGTCAGCATTAACTGAGACGGAATCGACCCAGTGTGTAATGGATAATAACATATCAATGTTCAGTGGGTAATAGGATGATTTTGGAAGTTCCGTGGGTAAACCATGACTGCATGACATAGTCTAAAGTTCAATGGCCAACCAAACACTTAACTCTTAGCAATATCTACGTCTACGATACAAGAAAGAGGAGATTTCTTAACTATTCATAAGGCGTCATCACGACGTAATGCTGACTCCATATATGAGTCTAGACACTTTGTTCTTGCTTTCTCTCCATCGTTTTGCGATTTTAGATCCCATTTTCCAAATCAAAACCCAAACAAAATCACACAAGGGAACATTTCCTCAATTTCAAATTCAATAACAGGTTGTAAAATCACAGAGGTTTTGTTCTTCTCTAACGTTGTTACCTCTTCCTTTCTCTCTCTATCGTCTCTCATTTATGAGATTTTAGATCTTCTTTTCCAAAGAAAAAATCCTAACGAAATCACATAACCATTTCAAATCCAATAATAGGTTGTAAAATCACAGAGGTTTTTTATCTTCTCTATCGTTGCTGCCACGACTCGCACTTCACCTTCAAATCGGAGATCTAGACGGCGACGATGGAGTAGACAGATTACTAGAGGAAGAAGTTTTAGTATGTGGATTTTCTCCCGTTTTCCTCTCTTTCAGCAAAATCTCCGTAAATTTTGTTTCTTTTTTGTGTTCGAGTGCATTTTCGTATGTAGTTTTTTTTTCTCGATTTTCCCTTAGTTTCAGCAAAAACTTCATAAAATATAAATATTTGGATATTAGAGGATAAAAAGTCTCTATTTCTACAACTGAATTGCAATCACCCAAGTGGAATTTCAACTTTTTGATAGTAGACTATCAGTGATAGGAAATTTGTGATCCACAACTTGCATTTTGTATTTCGTTTATATTTTTCTTGTTGTTGTCACCGTATTTTGTTTTCTTCACGTCAATGGCCGCAAAATTCTTAAATATTTGGTTAGTTATTTATTTGCCTTTAAAACTTTAGTTCCACTTGTAAAAAATCCAGAGATATANAAATTTGTGATTCACTACTTACATTTTGAATTTCGTTTATATTTTTCTTGTTGTTGTCACCCTATTTTGTTTTCTTCACGTCAATGGCAGCAAAATTCTTAAATATTTGGTTAGTTATTTATTTGCCTTTAAAACTTTAGTTCCACTTGTAAAAAATCCAGAGATATAACTGTGAAGCATTTTCTATTTGCACCGGTATAGTCTATTTGTTTTTAATCTTGGTGGCCAGTTGCGTAGCTTCATTTTCTATTGGATTTTCTTTCATGCTTCATGTTTCTCTATGGCTAGATCCTCTCTGTGGAGAACGGTAAATCCTAATGAAAATGTTAAAGACAAATTTTTTTTGTGCATTTGCTTTCTTGGGTCGTATTGTGTTTGCCGGGCCTTTTATCTTCAGTTTTCTTTATTTTTTTCCAATATTTGGCTCCCTTAGACGAATTTCTAATCTCGGCTCTGCTCATTCCGTCACTTCCTTGTTCACAATAAAAAAATTACTATTGCCGTTGTGAGGTTTATTTACATGTTATTTCATTTTTGTCGCAAGAATTGGTTTTCTCGGATAAAGGTTAGCTACTCTAATATATTTATTTTTGTTTTTGTTTCGTCGTTTTCAGCTTCCCTTTTTTTTTTTTTTGATAGGTAATTAGAAAATTTTATTAAGCAAAAAAGAATACACAGGAAGTGTATTATCAATTTCAACAAGAAAGAAAAGATAAGAAGTTAGGCANCAGTGAATGAACAAGTGGTCACGCGTCTCCCCATCGCTCCTACACTTATAGCACCACTCGTTAACACAGAAAACTTTTTTCGGAGATTATTTTTAGCTTCCCTTTTACAAAGTAGAAATGTGAGAATTATGTTGATTCATTCAATTATGAATAATTTTATTATTTAACACCCTTTGGACCAAGCAGTGACTCCCTGCTATCACAGCCGCCTTTAATTCCTCCCACCTAACACTCCCAACACCGGAGTTTGGTTGTTTTCATTTGCTATTGAGTTAATGTTCTCTTAATTTCAGGTCAATCAAGTTAAAAACTTTTAAGAGTTGTGTGTAATTTAAGATTTTTTTATTATAGGTGCTTCCTATGATGTTTAATTTAGTTGCATGTGAACTTTTATGCTCCGTTGTGTGCTTATTCAAATTAGGATGAATTTAGTTTTTTTGTTGGTTTTTTTTGTTTTGTTTTTGTTTTTTTTTTTTGTAAAGCTTTAAATTCCAATATTTAAATGTAAGATTGTTGTATTTGATAATTTATCAGTTATATATTCAAGTTGAGCCTCATGTTTGAGGTATTGATGTTAAGCTTTCTAGCCCAAATGATATTTATTGCATTCATAAAGTAGATACTGTGTTCACTGTTCATGTACGTGGTTGAGTTATGTTGCTAAATGAAAGTGCATAATATTTTTGAATATGAGGCAGTTACTTTGCATATGTAGGCCAGCTAAAGCTATGCACTTCTAATCTAAGTTCATTAATGTGTATGGTTGAAAAAGACGTAAAGATCAAAATATAGCGTGTATGTAAACTATAGTGCCGAACAACACATTAATGTCTCCAAATTATATTGTACTAAGAGGATACATGAATTGCGTTGTTTACTCCACTGGTTTAAATATAATGTTCATAACGCGTCATTGATGACATCACAGCAATGTCATGTATTTCTCCCTTACCAATTTGGCCCTTTTGCTTCCTTGCTATTTCTCGTGTCCATTTTTTCATCTTTGTCTTTATCTCTTCCATTTCTTAGATCCCCTTTGTAGATAACACAAACCCTAACAGAAAAATGAACAATTTTTCTTTATTGTTTTTCTTTACAGTTGACTTATTGGGTTGTATTGTGTCTGGCATGCTGTTTACCTTCATTCTACTTCATTTTTTTACCACAATTTGGCTTCCTTAGACGAAAATCAGATCCCCAGATGTGCTTATTTCGCCACCTCCCTGTACACAGTAACAAATTTGCATTGCCGTCATACGGTTTATTTTCATTTTCAGATCATTTATTTTTATTTTTGACCTTTTTAATTGTATTTTTCGGTGGTCGAAGGGTGCAATGTTTACTATTTATTCTTTGCTCTATCCGATTCTGATCTCAAAGGATTCACTTTTACATGTGTACAAAGTTCATTTCTTTGATGCTTAGATTTATGGGTTTGATTTTGTTTGTAGGAGCATCATTTGAAAGTCAAAAATTTTCCTTTTTCCAAGATTCCCCTGACTCCGTGTGTAAACATGTGCGGCAATTTGTTTACGTTAGGAAACAAATTACAATAGTTTATTTAATTCTATAAACCCAGTTGTTCACATTATTGACCCTATATGACTAAATGTTTACATGATCTAAAATAGAGCGTTGTTATAACGAAATCTCTTATTGAATTATAACAGTCATTGTGCAACACACGATCCCCCATTAGTTTATAAATACAGAGGTTAAAATTTACTAATTTTAATTGGAAGGTCTAATTTCAACAAGTATAGTGAAGAGCCACCGCACTTTTAACCTTTCCATTCATCCCAAACCACTCTCTTAATTGTGAGCCTACAAAGATTCTTCCGTCTTCCTTATTTACCTTCAATAAGGTAAAATTACATAGATAAATCTATTTTATTTTTTGCTGTTGCAATTTTAATGTGTATTTTATCTGATTATTTTACAATGTTTTATTTAATTTTTGAAAGTTGCTGAAAATTATTTAGGGTTTAGTATGCTTGTTATTAGATTTTTGTTCCACGTGTATATGTTAATTAATTAGCTCAAAACTTGGTGTATAAACTTGTATGCTATATTGCTATGTATATGTGTAAACTTAATTTCCTGAGCTTTGCTCCGTCTGGAAGGAGTCTTGAAACAAATCATAAAAATCTGAAGAGCTCTTATACTAACCTTAAAATTGGCTATAACAAGCTAGAGATTGATGAAAAATTGTCTTACCTATTTTTTGGGCAATCTTCAAGCTGTTCGTCTAGCTAATATGTAGGACCTTTAGTTGAAACCAAAGTTCTGACATCGGAGATTTTCTGCTTGAATGAACTTAGTAAATATGTATTGAAACAATGCAGTGTTATTTTTTTGCTTTTTTTTTTTTCACTTTCCCAGTAAAAGTGTTATACAATTAACTTAATCGTGGCTGAGGCTTTGCCCAATGTGAATTAATTAGTGACTGTGGAACTCATTAAGTAGTGCTCACTGCTCAGTAGCTTTGGACACTGCATTTTGTAGAAATGCAGATACAGAACCGAACTGAACAGAATTAGAAACAGTTGGTTCAAGTCTGGTCGGTTCTCTGTCTTACACATGGAACCAGTGGTTTAATTAATAGATTCTCAGTTAAAAGCGGTTCAATCCGCTTCTTAGTAACCCTGGACCTAAGTGGATTATGGCCACCCTTTCCTGAACAGCACAAGCCAATGTGTTGGTCCATCTCAACTGACTACGTTGTCATCCCACAATCCGAACCCGCATTGGTTAAATCCTTAAACATAACAAAAAAAACTTGGATTTTAAGTTTTTAACTATCTCTATTTTTCCTTTTGTTCAATCTCGTGGCCCCCACTCACCCTCCAATGTTTTGTAATCATTATTCATTCTTAACAATCTTTTATTTTTCTGGTATAAATTTTATTTGTTTCTGTTATTATTAGCATAGTTTTCTTTTGTGCACGTGTCCTGTATTTTTTTATATGATAATAATTCCCTTTCTTTTTCTTTGCAGCTTGAATTTAGCGGTTTAATTGGTATAAAGTGCACCACCACTACGACCTCAAAACTCCTGGCCACCGCCATCGGCCGCTGTATCCCCAAATCCACCATCACCACCACTTCCCTGCTCCTACTCCACCCTTTCTCCACCGCCCGACGCCGCAATCGATTCCCTTGCAGAGTACGGCTCCACCATAAAGCTTTAATCTTTTTTGCTGCTAGTTAGCAATAAAATCAATGCCATTCCTCTCCTCCGTGTCTCGTTACCTTTTCTCACCGATCCCACACAGACCCCTTGACTTTTCGTTCACAAAACTCCGTCCTTTCACCACATCTTCACCGGCAGCCGAAAAGTTCTTGACCAATTTGCTGGAAAATAGGTCCAACACAGAAAAGGTCCTTGAATCTGTGAAAGCTAAGCTGGATGCTCCGTGCATCAGTGAAGTGTTAAAAAGGTGCGCTGTTAATGAACCCCAATTGGGTCTCAGGTTTTTTATTTGGTCTGGCGTTCATCCTACCTATAGGCATAGCTCATACATGTATAGCAAAGCCTGTAAATTGCTTGGACTTGATAATAATCCAAGCATTGTTGTTGATGTTATATCGG